GTGTGTGTGTGTGTATGTATGTATGTGTGTGTGTATGTATGTATATATGTATATATATATATATATAGAGAAGTTGTGAATGCACCATCTTTTAGTTATGTATTTTCCCCCCCCACCCTCCGAGGAATTTATATCGCACACGTGTCGATTTACTGTTTCTCAGTTCTCACTTCGTTCTATTGTCTATATATATATCATATCTAGTGAATACAAACACATACACAAAGTCTGATTTGACTTGCACTTCCATGGGAATCCTTGGGTTTGTATATAAGTGTTTTTATTCATTTCTGTTGTCTTGTTTAGCCACGCCGTCTGGCACTGTGATACACACTCGCGGCTGTTGGTCGCTGCTAATCATGAACTGAGATGTGTCTCGGCATTAGCCATCGCCACTGACCACGCAGCTATAGTTTAGCTGTGCATGTACATTCGAAATACACAACCTCTGCAACACACTGCTGAGCGAGGATATGCCTACGGGATAGATAGAGATGAATGATACGAGTGCAATAGTCTATGGGAGGTGAGATAAGCACACACCCTGGTTTGATTTTCTTGACGGTTCTTTTCAAACAGATGTTTAAGAGACGCACCACTAAGCGAGGTGAGCGGAGTGGTCCTGTGCCCTCTGTCACACAAACTCAGGCGGTGGCTGCGTTCAGCAGTGTATTCCAATATGGCTACCCTCATGAAAGCCTTGCTACTGTACTGGCTCCGGTAGGTGTTCATAGCGAGTATATATATATATATATGTACGTCTGTCGACGTACAAACGCATACACAAACGTGGACACCAACACACACTCTCTCCATCTGTCTCTGATATACACCCTACAGTAGGTACGTTTGCAACTCTATACACGTCCATCGACGTACAAACACATACACATACATATACACCCACGCACACTTTCGCCATCCTGTCTCTGATAGATACCCTGAGCTTGGCACGTTTGCAACGTATGCTCGTCCATCGACATACAGATAGATACACATACACGTACACCCACCCATACTTTCGCCATCCCGTCTCATACAGATACCCTGCAATTGGTACGTTTATATACCTTTGTCGACGTACAAGCACAAACACATACATATACACGTACACCCACCCACACTTTCGCCATTCTGTCTCTGATAGATACCCTACATTTGATACGTTTGCAGTTCACCCCCGGTGACCCTGTGCTGCGCCATGGGGTGCAGTTCTTTCACACAGTCATCAACCTACGTGAGAAGTCTGGTCCGTTGTTGGATATGTTAGGCGTGTGCGAATCCATCAATCATCCACCTAATCATGGTATGTCAGTGTCTTCACTGTTTATCTATCTTGTGTATCTATACGTGTGTATGTGTGTACATCAATCATCCACCTAAGCATGGTATGTCAGTGTCTCTCTGTCTGTCTATTTAACTTTGTGTAGCTAAATGTATGTGTGTACATCAATCATCCACCTAAGCGTGGTATGTCAGTGTCTTCACTGTTTATTTATCATTGTGTATCTATCTATACGTGTGTATGTGTGTGTGTGTACATCAATCATCCACCTAAGTATGGTATGCCAGTGTCTGTCTGTCTGTCTATTCAACTTTGTGTATCTAAACGTGTATGTGTGTAGATCAATCATTTAGCTAAGCATGTCATGTCAGTGTCCCTCTCTCAGTCTATTTATCTTTGTGCAAATAAACGTGTGTATATGTGTACAGCAATCATCTACATAAGCATGTCGTGTCAATGTCTTTATCTCTCTATTTATCTTTGTGTAGTTAAACGTGTGTGCGAGTCCATCAATCAGTAGTTATTCGTGGCATGTCAGTGTGTTTGTATATGCATATTTAATTAAGACTACAACGAGTCTTACTTAAGTGTGTTGATGTCAGTGTGTCTGTCCGTGTTTATCGAGATTTTTTTAACCTTAAACCTAAAACCCTATATACCCTGTCATATATTGGCCTTGTGTCCATTATTTCATCCACGCCGCCGTGGTATGCCATATGCCAATGCTTTTCATGGTGTGCACTGTTCTTTATGTGTGTGTCTCAGCTTGGTATCTGGACATTACTGGAGCGTATGTGTATGTAGCAATCAGCTCGTGATATTGTATTGATATGTTTCTTTTCTGTTGTTTGTGTGCGTATATA